AGGGTTTAGGGTTTTGCTCGTCCTTTCGTGTTTCTTTATGCATGTTGTGCGGGTGTGTAGGTGTAGGTGTGCAGGTATGTGTAGGTGTAGGGTAGGCTTTTCTGTATGCGTGTGTGGGCGCATGTGCTCTTGCTGTGTGGTGTGGGGTTTTGCAAGGGTTTGTAGTCTGCAGGCTTTCAAGTTAGGCTTACTGATCTTCCATGTAAACTGGCGTGGAGCTCGAAGTATTCCCAACATGAGATAGAGCAGCGCGCGAGCTTCAAGTTTGGATTGGTCAGGTGACAAACTGGCTCTTGAAGACCTGTGTCTTTCGGTTGACAGTCCTTCTCAGCTTCACTAATATGGGTTTACGGCTCAGTGTTCGGCTTGTGCACAGGGCTCGCATCATGACTGGATGCTCGACGCGAAAGACACAGCTCGGTCAGGCTCTTTGACTAGTGGGCTGCGCTGTGCACGACTTTCTTTGTTTCTTGTTCTTCAGTCACTGGTCACTTGAGACTTTTGCTCCCAAGGCTTATGCATCCCAATTAAGGTTCTACCGGGAGGTTGCGAACGATGGCATGTGCACTTGTGCGGGGCGAGGGGAAAGTTTTGAATTGGGCGAGAGGTTGGCTTCAACCAGTAAGTTGGTGACAGAAGAAAGCACAAACATGAATGACACTTATTCCATCTCCTTGACTTTAGGTTCACTTCGTGCTTCACATCTAGATGCCCTCAAGAGTTCACGTAGTGAGCTGCAACTCTGCATCGAGAGGCGCACCGAAGCCCAAGTACAAACAGCCCTGATCATGAACTCTCTGCAGAGTTGTTTCGAACATCGTCATGTTGATAAGTCTGATAGGTGTATTGTGTAATATATAGGGGCCTTGAAAATGACAATGGTGGTTGCTGCTAACGGGTTAGCATAAAGGTTCTATGGTCTACTGGCCTATGATTGTGGTCTGAATAGTTCGTGTCGTTTTTTTTCTGTCGATTGTGCCTTGACTGATGTAATTGTGGCAAAGAAATCCCCAAAACCCCAGTTGACTTCTGTAGGCTTCCAGATTTGTAGGGAGAACAATCCCCCGATCCACACTTTACTGTAAGGAGCCCGCCGCAGCTCGCGCCAGTCGAGATTTTTGGCTGTTCGTCCGTAGATGTGGCACTTATATTTACCCAGACCTTCCAATATCCCCTGGTTAAGAAATATATACCTTACATGCTAGTACGACTCTGAATATGAATCAAGGTATATTACGGAATATTCCTAATTAAGGGGTCTGGGTACTTGCAAGAACAGAATTTTGGCGGCATTTGGTGCTGGCCTGATCAAGGCTGCCAGCCCTTGCCCTAAGCCCGAATGCCCTGCTCTAACACCTAAATCAGGGTCCCTTTGTTATCCGGGTATTTGTTAGGTCATAAAAAAGTACGGCACCCTTGAAAATGGACCCTAAAAGCAACCCTGAAGTAGAGACTTACCCACAAGTTTCTAAACCCTAAACCCTATAAAGCTAAACCCTAAACCCTAAACCGTACACTGTTTCAACCGGGCGCCAGGCAGCAACTGCCCAGCTCGAGGCCCTGCCCCACGTCGCTTTGACCCGACAAAGGGCTGCCGAAGGAGGGAAAAGGTCCGGAAAGATTCCACAGATAGCGCGAAAAGAACATACCTCTCAGGGTTCCGTGTATTTTGGTTTTTATATCTCTATATCTATATATCTATATGTCTATATATCTGTCGATATAGATATATACCTATATATACCATCCCTTTACGACAAGTTGGGTTTTTTCGGGTCGCAGATGGAGCCCGGACCCTTCCAAGTCATACCCAAGACCCTGCACGTGGAAGCTTTCTGCATGGAGCCCCAAGGCCGGTCCTACTTTAAGGATCATTGGGACTTACTTAGAGGATCATCTTTAACAAGGGTTTAGGATGTAGGGGTTTAGGGGTTTAGGGTTTAGGGTGTACTTTAAGGATCATGGGACTTAGTAACTAAGGTTATTATTAGGGTAAGTATACTTATAACTACTTATAACCGCAATTAAGGTACTTATGACCATACTTACCAAGTCGCATGATCCTCCAAGTATGTCCCTTGCCCGATGTCAGCACTGCTTTGAGGCTTAGCTACGCAAGGTAGGATCGCCTTTGCGGATTATATGATAGGGGCCTAAATAATTACCAACATTATGGTTTCGGGGGGTTCCCTTTTACAAACATATTATAATGGGCCCCAAAACCTTATTCCACCATAAGGCCCCTACGTTGAACTAAGATATGGGTGCCTCATGTGTTTTGGGGCTTACCTTGACCTCAAATAGCTGAACTCTGTACGGATATATATGAGGAAAGCACATTAAGGAACCCTAAGAGGGTAGGATTCTTAGGGTCCAGGTGAGGCTTACTGGTTTAGAGTTCGGGGCTCCGGCTCCCGAGGTTTCGCGCGGATGTTGCAGACATGAATCGGTAAGATAGAAGCCCATATAACTACCAAGATTTTTAGGGTTTAGGGTTTAGGGTTTAAAGTTCTTTGTTAATGTCGCAATAGGCCACGTTCGGACTGCGGCAGAGACCTTGCACATGGAAGGGCTATGCACCGTGACTGTGCCGGACATCCGAGTGCACCAAGTGCGAAGTCTTTAAGTACAGGAAGCCGGCGAGCTTGCCATATGCCTCCCCACTATCCCTCCCCCAACTGTCCCTTATGACGCTATTCTACGTCATTCTAAGTCTACGTCATGTGTGAATACGGTTAAGGGATTTTTATGCAAAGAGCATTCCTGGAAGTTACATATAAGATACGAAAAATTGTAGTTCACGGTAGTGGAGTTTCGGCGACCTACCTTTGCAGGATTTCGACAGTTGAAGTGGGAACCATTGACCTGAAGAACGATTCTAATTTCCAAAGCGGGCTGCTCGTGTTTCGATGTTAATTCATCTTCGTTGACGCGAGGGTAACATCCTTGCATAAACTTCCGAATCAACTTGATTCTGTTTGCAATAACCCCTAAACCCTAAACCGTCCTTGGGTTGTTCGGGAATTTTGGCTCCCTTTGACAATGGATCGCCGAAGCAGCTGGACCCCATGAACCCAGGACACTGGTGTTCCCAGACCTTCCTATATCATAAATATTTAAAGATCGAGTATAATTATACCTTAAATCATATTCCGGGTCCTACTATAACCTAAGGCATATATTCCTTGGTTTTGCGGGATATTGGTTGGCCTGTTTTATTCAGTTCTTGCATCGCGTTGGCACGTCAGGGTCTCCAGCAGCTGGTGAAGCGTTACGGCTCAAGCAACGGAGCCCGCCAACCCTCCGCACATGCTGCGTTTAGGGGCTGGGGTTCTGAAGCCTGTAGTTCACGCTAGCAGAAGATGCTTAGCGGCTTAGCGGCTAAGGCACAGCACATTGGTCGTAAACGCAGAACTCGAAGTAATCGTTAGCTCGTATTGACAAGATTCAGAGAATCTTCCTGAGGCCTCGGTGCTAAAGGTTCACCGGACCAGCAGCAAACAGCAGATTTTCCTGACGGTGGAACCAAACAACAAGGCCTGTAGAGCCAGACCCTCGTTGGGCCTGACAGCAAGCTGTTGCCCAGGCGCCTGCCTGAAGATAGGTTTGTATCTAGTGAGACATGTATAAACATATACACACACACATACAACCACACAGGGAGAAACTCTTTCAGAACAATAGTCCATTAAGAAACTATCTTAAATTTTAAGTTTTGCTCTGCACGCAGAGCCGACCCCGGGTATCGGACGCTGCCGCTGGCGGCTTCTCGTCCAGGTGCCGCTCTCCCCCGAGGGCTTCCAAAATCCCGCAATTCAGGAATTCACTTTAAGTTAAGGTAGGATCCCTGTTATACAGCCCTTAGTTACTGAATATATACGTTAAGTTATGGTAGGATCCATAATATGAACTAAAGTACACGCTTCAGGGATCTTGCAACGTCTGGGTCCCTCTTAAATGCCAAGGTCTTTTTCTCCTGAGCCTATAAACCCCAACAGGCCCCAACCCCTGAACCCTTAACCCCTACTGTAGGGGCTTCAATAATTAGGGTTTAGGGTTAGGGTTTAGTGTAGCTGCCTAAACAATTACCAATACTATTTTAGGTTTTTTACTTATTAGTATATTTACAGTAAAATGGGCCCCAAAGACCCTATTCTAATGATTCAGGCCCCTGCATTACCGGGTTTTAGGGTGTAGGATGTTAAGGTGAAGCGGGGTTGCGATTCTGCGCTAGATTTTGATGTAAACGGGTTTAGGCTGTTTAGGTCTAGGACATTTTCAGGTGGGTAGTTACCGTGAAAGGAGCCTTATAGAAGGTCTATATACCTTGTAGAAGCCTTATAGAGGCCCGATATACCCTAAACTCCCCACCTGTAGTTTCCCTCAATTAGGGTTTAGGGTCTAGTCCAAAAGACTCAACCCCAAAGACTAGGTCGGATCTGACGGTCGCACGGGGTTGTACCCACATGCATAACCCTTGCACCCTAAGCCCTGTTCCGAGCAAACCCTCAATCCGAAACTTCATTTCTTTTTAAGCCCCAAGCCACAACAGCTATATGACGAAGGCCGGAACATGTGAATACCTAAACCTCTGCAATACGAAAGACAAGCCTTGAAACGAGAAAACAGGACTGAACCCAAGCGCAGTAAGCCCATAAAACCGAACCCCCACATAAAGCCTCAAAGTCGTAGAGGTTATTATTTAGGCTTCTATGTTGGGTCCCGGCCCAAGAACCGAAGACCCACCCCCAAACCCCAAGCTCAAGACCCCCAAGTCTGAACCCGAAAGCCTCATGGGTTTCGGGGTTAGGGCTGTAGGGTTTAGGGGTTTATAGGGGTTTAGGGGTTTAGGGGTTTAGTGGTTTAGGGTTGAGGGTTTAGGGTTTAGGGTTTAGGGTTTAGGGTTGAGGGGTTTAGGTTTACGGTTTATAGGGTTTTAGGTTTAGGGTTTAGGTTGAAAGACCTGCCCAAATAGCCAAACGCAACAACTCATCAGGGCCATGGGGAATGCCATGGTCCAGGAGTTCGCACAAGGCCTTGCTTGATTAGTGTGCATACTTAAAGGATCATGGGGCTTAGTAACTAAGGTTATTATTAGGATAACTATACCTATCACTACTTATAATAACCCCAACTAAGGTACTTATAACCATACTTACTAAGTCCCATGAGCCTCCAAGTAGGGCTTTGAGGGTTTTCCCACCAAGGCTGAGCCACACGATGCAGGGGGTTCTTTCAAGCTTTGCATGGCTCTTGGTCTTGAAGGTTTTTAAGGGCTGGCGCAAGAGTTCACAGCACATCTTGCCAGCTGCATCACCGACCCAATTTCCTCACTCCTAACTCCAAGCTTGAGAGCCACACTCTTTGTAGGAGACGCACTGCGCGATGCCCAACCCAACGATTCAGCCACGCAAAGAAGAATTGGAAATATTGCAGACCCATAGGCCCCATAGTAGTTCCTTTTTTAGATTACCTAATAGGATCAATAGACGCCACAAAAAGGAACTATATGGGGCCTATGGGGAGCGCCGAATTCCCTACACCTAACCATTTTGTATCGAAAGCGTGAAGCCTGAGCCCTGAACCTTGTGACGCCTTCTGAGGATCAGCCCCTAAAGCCTCAAGTACATCCCTCGCGATCACCTAAACCCCAAATGTCACACCAAACCCGAATTCAACCCCGCCCACCCCCCACCCCACCCCACACCCCACCCCACACCCCACACCCCCCCCACCCCACCCCACCCCACCCCCCTAAACCCGAAAGGTAAAGCCCCAAAGCCATGTCTTCAGCAGTCCTGGCAGACCCGAACCTCCAAGTCCCGACGCTTCTCATCTCTTGGGCCTCAGGGCTTTAGACCCTACAGGTTTTAGGCCGAGTGGTTTAGGGTTTAGGAGTTTAGGGTTTAGGGTTTATAAGGGTTTAGGGTTTAGGTTTTAGGTTTTAGGCCGAGTCTAGGCTTCAGGTTTTAGGGTTCGCGCGAGATAGCATAGCATAGGGGGCCTAAATAATTAATCAGAATAGGGTTTTGGGGTATACTATATTAGTATTATAATAAGGAACCCCCAAAATGATATGGGAAATTATAATAAAGGCCCCTATGTTGATGTTCTCATGCACTTTCAAGCTGTCGCGCCCTACATTCCATGCCAGACTTGCACTGCAACCTCCCTAAACCCTAAACGCTCAACCCTGGAAGGTTTACAACCTGTGCCGCCCAAGAAGAAGGTGGGCCCTCCTGCTCTCCGGTCTGCCCCTTTCGAGACGTTGTAGGGTTCAGGGTTTAGGGTTGAGGGTTTAGAGTTTAGGGAGAGTCAGTAGAGCATGCAAAACGTCGGTGTTCTATCTCCTACACCCAGGGAACGTTGCGTCGAAGATATGTATAGCACTGCAGCGCTTTGCACCCAACACCGCGCAAATTTCACCAGCGTGGGATTGAGCGCTTTGATGTTTGGTGTTCGGACCCTTACCCTTACCCGGTTACCCCGAGGCCCGTAAGCACAAAGTCGTCGAACTGCTTGGGAGACCTATAAACGGTGTTGGGTGGCCATCTCTGGAAGCCTAAAGGCCTGAACCCCCCAGCCCCGAAAGATCCAAAAGCTGTCAACACCCTCGGGTTTAGGGTTTAGGGTTTAGGGTTTAGGGTTTAGGCAAACCCTAAACCCTGAACCCCTGATTCAGAACTGCAGAACCCTCGACTATGCGTACGCTTCGCGGGATCCTAATGTCCCAAAGACACTTTCCCGCTGAAGACCAACCCTGCAGAATGAAGCCCTTGCTGGGTTTCTTTTCCCGCAGCCCCGAAAACCTTCATTATGGGAGCTAGGATTAGGGGGACCCTTGGGGATATAGACCCTCTCAATAAGGTCCCTTGTAAGAGAGCCAAAAGTAGGGTTCAGAAGGGGTACCCTTTAAGGAGTACCCCTTAATGATACTACCCACATTATTGAGCATGTTGCAAGACTGTTTGTACGCATGTTTGCATGTCTATGTGTCTCTATGTCTGTATGTCTGTCTGTACGTATGTATGTATGCATTTATGAACGTCTGCGTACATGTGCCTAAACCCCACGACCCTAAAACCTAAGCCGTATTGTTCGATTCAGAGGTTGTGGTCTTGCCTTTAACCCTAAGGGTCCATATATACTACCATTATGGAATTAGGTCCCTAAACCCTAAACCCTAAACCCTAAACCCCAAAACCCTAATATGAATGGTCTTTTGGGACCCAATTCCATAATGGTAGTATATATG